AATATATATAATTTTGATAGTAACAAATAAACCCATTTAAATTGAAAAGGCGCCCCAGTGAGTAGGGAGATTCAGGCTGAACCTGATGAAATCTAAACTTGCTTCATTTAGAGCTTTAGCATTGCAGGGAGGGCGAGGCATAAGGGAAAATAATGTGGTTCAGGGACTGTGAGACAGACTACATCTGCAGGTGCAACTGTGCTAAGCAAAGACGTTCATCATACAGTGTAAGGACACCGTACACGAAGATGGGCAAGCGGTTTCGTATGGTCTGGGCCTTTTTTGTTCCGTCTATGTCATATTATATGAACTTGGTAATGGAGGGAATTATGTAAAACATCAGTAATGGAATAAAATATTCATGGGTATGCAAAGCGTCTACAATTTTATCTTTTCAACTTGATGTAGCGCAGTTTTCACTTATACACAAAGAACTTAATTAAGCACCCCCTTTTTTTTTGCAATGATAGGTTTTCAACACGTACATAAAACTTCTCGTGGTGATCACGATGGAAAAACTATTGTTTTTTAAATGAGCAATTATCATTATAAAATCAACATTGATTCCAATCATTTTGTCATTTTGTATGAGTCAAAGGATCATACAGGTCAGAAAAACTCATATTTTCATACAAAACCATGTCTGTACAAGTATGGTTGAATCTATTGGTGAATGTGAACATTCAAAATGTCATTTTGCGTGTCTTACATGATTTAAGGTCAATACCGAGTGTAACCTCCATGTGACTATGACAGCCTGCACCCTCCTTCTCATACCTCGTCAGCCTCCTATCCTCTTAAGTGTCCGTCTACGCCATTCCTTGTGTAAAGCAGCTTCCAGGTTCTGTACAGGGGATCCATTTGTTGCACAGGACGACCAGTCATGTCCCAGATATGCACCAAATGCTTAAAAGTCACATGCAACCAAAAAATCAAACATAATTAAAACACAATTATCACTTCTTCATGACATATAATATGCATTGCTGATTATGAAAAAACAAATAAACAAAATTATATGCGTATAATCGCAAATCAAAAGTGCAATATTTTGTACTCGGGTTTACCTCCCTCGAAACGAAGCAGCCGGGATACCGAACCCAGTCAGAGCGGGTGGGTGTGCACTCAAGTGTAACGGCTGGTTCATTTGCAGATGCCGCCTTCACGGCTGATTGTGTGTGTATATATATAGAGATGTTGGGTTTTGCAAATACATGATCAGTTTTTGCGTATAACATTTTGCAATCAACAGACATCATAACATGTCATGTGTTCAAGTATCACACCTGCCTGTCTGTGTAATTACATAATGTGACAGAGACCGAACTCGGGCCATAAATCAATGCGTTTTGTTTATGGTGTATAGCCTGATTGGTGTTAAGTTCAAATTGCATGTGGTCAGTGATCGCAGTTGTGTATTGAATATTGTCATTAGTAGACAGGCAGGCAGACACACAGGTGTCAATAAAACAATACATTGAGTTTTGTCTGTGACAACGACATATCTATATCACAGTTAGAAATTCTGTCGACGCTAAATAATGACATTGCTTTTAAGTATCGAACTGAGAAAGTGACTCGGTAAGAAGAACGTGTGGTGAAATAGATAAATGAAATTATATAAACAGTTTATTTACTGTCATAACATATAAAAAGCTCGCGCCTGTGAGATATCAACAAAACATTATGAAAATAGCTCACACCAAAACCTTCACCGAGTATTCACCAGACAGCCCCCTTCCAAGTTGCGCGAACCTATTTCACTGCGCACATGCTATGAGCGCAGCCGAGCTGTTGAAACCCGTTTTCCCCAGAAAAGTCGGGGGAAATTTAGTGAAACGTTTGAACTCCGATTTCGCGCGTTTTTTTTCATCGCGTTATTTTTCAACTTTATAACTTGAATTTGCATTTTTGATGATTTGTTTCGGTAAGTCCATAGGTATCAGAATCTGCAAAGTTGTGTTTTACGTTGCATGTGACCTTTAAGATCGGGGCTCATTCAATTGTGAGAACTGTCAGGGGGTGCTGAACGAAGTTCTTTGTGTATATATGGATGTGTCAGTTTATAGGATGAGATAATGTGAAAGGGTTGCAGGTAAAAGATGTTTAATACTTTTGAGCGAGTTAGTGAGTTGGGTTTAACACCACTTTGAACAGTATTCCACTTTCATCACAGCTTGTCTTCTCAGCTGAGAAGTTAACAGTAAAGATATTAACCCCTTAAGTGAAACCCACATCTATATGTATGGCGCAGACAAACTCAACCCAACATCTTTGGTTTCTGGCATGCCAGACGAAAGCAAGTTGCATGAAGAACCTTGGACGACTGCGACATACATGGCCCTTAACACTCTCAAATTTATTGTGTTTGTTTGTTTAATGACACACTAAGCAATATTCCAGCGGCATTTAATTTATTGTGCACAATGGTCTATTTCAAGTTGTAGGTATACTTTACGACATCAATGTAACATTCAAGAGATTTAGAAACTGATTGAATGTTGTTTAAAGCTGCAATCTGCATTTTTCGATGCACTGATGAATGTCAGTATGTCATGTGATCATATTGTCAGTCTAGCAGAGAGTTGCAGATCTGTCAATATTTGTCTTCACATCATGGAATTTGATCAGGTCACATACAAATCACATAAAACAGAGGTTCAAGTGTAATTTTCTTTACTGGTAATCATACAATAATATTTCATTTCAATTGTAGAAAAACATGTTACCAACAATCACACCATCAATCAGACATCATTATGACATTGTAAAGATTGAAAACACGATACATAATGATCTAATGAATGCACTGACACACACATCTCCTTCAGACAAACCTGTATAGTGAGGGCCATGTCCTGTGAAGTAATGATTAAATGACACTCAGCCCGACATTGTACATCTCACCCTATACAGACAACTGTACATGCATGAATGAAACACCAAGTTTACTACTCACATACAAACCAGCATCGTATTAAATGATTGCCAGTGTTTGCATTATGAATTGGTTTTAAATTTTTTTTTCCACTATGTTTCTTCAGTTACTTTCTAATCAGCTGCAGAATGAGATAGAACCAAACACACAGATCCTGCATTAACACGAACTACCAAAGTTATCATCACATAAAACAGTCATGCTAATATCCTATTTATAGTAATGTAAAGAGATCCACAAAATATGAAACTGTACAATCAAAACTGCTACCAAGATGAGTTCCTATGACAGGGGAGATAACTCAGGCTAATAACTCAGCAATTACAAAGGTACCCAATTTGATTAAGTTAAACAGGTCAACCCCTGTCATTTACGTCACACATACACATGTACTTAATTTCTACCCTCATATTCATTCAGTTGTATAAAAGACATCACAACACCTGTTTTAAAAACTAATATATCAACAATCTAAATTATGCATGTTTAACAAAATGTTGAACAAGTTATGTATATTAACAAATTGCTAAAAACAGACACATTCTGGCAAATCCCATAAAGCTCTTTGAGAGGTTGAAACCTGTTTGAGAGCTTCAAGATCAGGATTTGGAAAAATGTCATTAGAGTACCACATTTGTCGTCTCAGTTCATGTTTTTCAGTTACAACAGTAAAATAGTCGTTGCCTTGAGTGAGTGAGTTTAGTTTACGCCGCACTCAGCAATATTCCATCTATATGGCGGCGGTCTGTAAATAATCAAGTCTGGACCAGACAAACCAGTCATCAACAGCATGAGCATCAATCTGCGCAATTGGGAACAGATGACATGTGTCAACGAGTCTGACCACCTGATCCCGTAAGATGCCTCTTACGACTAGCATGGGTTACTGAAGATCAATATTCTAACCCGGACCTTCACGGGTTTCGTGGCCTTTAATTCTGGTAAGAAGAACATATTTGGAAAGAAGAATAAATATGGCCAGTATCTTCAGAACTAAAATTAATACTTCTCTTTCATATCTATAACTTTTATCAAAAGAACATGTCATGTCTGGATGGGAAATCACTGTAGTGACTTACTATAAGAATCATAGTTGCTTGTATTGAAACATGAATTGTTTGCATTGAGGCAGCATGTTTTTCAGCATATATTCATTACAGTGATATAGGTAGCAGAAAGAATGCTGGCTATGCAGGATACACCCTGTAGATAAGACCCCTCCTCAACACTATATGGAAAGGTTAGAGCTGTCATAAATTCATAAGATACTTCTCCTTCCTTTGGCAAGGGGCCACTATCATACATACACTATCATACATGTCTAACATTTCCAAGGAGTTATACATAATTTCAAAGAATCAATAAAAAAGATTACTTGCAACACTTTTGATGTTTTGAGTTTGGCTTAATGTGACTTTGAACCGTATTCTAATTAAATCATGGTATGTCAACTTAATGTGAGAGTCATACACTGTCAGCCATTTAGGTGAAACCAAAGAGCAAGGGCATGGTGCAGTTAGACCAAGACATATATTCGGGAAAATCAAGGAATCAAACCCACAATCATGTTTCTGGATTGTCCATAAACTTGTCTATTTTTTGTGTGCCACATAGAAGGCACAAAGCAAGGAACAGATAGTACATAAACAGCTCAGTGAGTGAGTGAGTATGGTTTCACGCCGCTTTTAGCAATATTCCAGCAATATCACTGCAGGGGACACCAGAAACGGGCTTCACAACAGCTCAGTGTGAACACCATGTTCACTGAAACTTCCCAATATTGCAGTTTACTGGAAAAGTGGATGGAATATTTGTTTGTTGATACAGGATTCCCTCTTCTGTCTCAAGTAAAAATCCGAGCTGTTGACATGTTTGTATGGGAGGTCAAATACGTGAATCATAAATATGTTTTAATGCAAACATTTCCTTATAATGCACATATTTCTGTGATATTCCAAGGTGTCCTAAAATATACTAAATATTTTTCAACAAGATACTATGCCAGACTGTAATAATTTGGTGTTTACGATATGAAAAATCGAAAATCCATTTTAAAAATCCATTTTCATGGTACCATGTTCGATGGCTGGAAGAAGTACACAGATGTCCCTGATATCAACAAATTCCACAAAAAAGGGAGCTCCAATGGGTTGTCATCTACATGTTCCTGTCCTTGGGAACCTTGTATTTCATGCCCACATAGTCAAAGACGTCTTCTTCACATGTTACAGGAAGTGGTTCACCAGGCGTGCCCGTGCTGCCTACAGGGCGTATACAGTACTCATTGAGCGTGAAGCCATCGTCCAGCGCATGTTGTCTTATGTTCTTGTTGAAGACATCAGAGCCGGTGAAGTACAGCAAGGCACAGAAGTACTGGTCATGGGGTATCAACCTACACACAGGAACAAAGACTTTCAAATGCAAATAGCAATAAGCACAAATTGCAAGATTAATATGTTATAGATAAAATATCAGACATCTTTGTTTCTTTGTTCACTGTCGTTCCAGGAAAAATGGACACCAGTAGAAATGTCTGAGGTTGAAATATTCATGTAAATGAGGGGTACATTATTATTTTATTTAGTCATCTAACATACTTATTATTCAGAGACTGCTATCAGATGTGTTAGCTATGTTCATTTAACTTCAGGCTAACTGCAGAATACTGATTATCACCTTGGCAACTATTCAGGATCAAAGAATGCCTTTCCCTTCAAACAAACAGACCTTCAGGGTAGCTTATAAACAATTCATAGCACAATAACTTGTAAGCATTTTTTGCACAAGCAGGTCACCACAAACAGCCACTCTTTATACTGGTCTCACCAAAACCCTGGTGACTACCAAGTTATCATCTGTGTGAAGTAACTAACCTGATATCTATTCTTCTGAAGCTCCTCTCCTCTGTATCATCTTTTTCCTTGGGTTTGATACAGACACCCTGCAACAGTTGCCACACATAACATGGAGTCATACAGTGTAAGTACAGAGATTATCGACTAAACTAGCAATTATTTAGCACAATTTAAATCAAAGTAGAAGTTAGTTAAATATTTCTTGGAACTTAAATTGGCTCATGTGATGCAACTAGAAATTATTATGTTTAATAAATAGTGCCACTTACACTCATCATATAAAATGTTCCTTCCTAATGGGGCAGTGAAAAAATTCAGAAGGAACTAAAACACTCTTTGGTCCTCTAGTAGGGCTGATTGTGTTATTAAAAACATGAGGTGATGCAAATGTTTATCATAAAAAAAATACTGAAGCAGACAAATAAGGAAAGGCCAATAAACCCTTGGCTTCACATTTTTTTCATTTCTTACTTCTGTTTGTTGTTTATATTTTCACTGACTAAATCTGCTTAACATGAAAGACTGAATAAAATGTAGAACTTACCATGAACTTTGAATCCCCCAGGGAGATGGTATCAGTTACAAAGTTGATGGCCTCCAAACATTTCACAACTTTATGCAGCAGGTCAGGCTGGGTAGCAAAGACACATTGAAACTTGCATGTTATTCATTATAAATACAGCTGTATTACAATGGCAATATTACCAACAGAAATGAATAATCTATTTAAACCTGATACTGGAAAATTGCATCATTTCGTAAGATTATTCAGAAAAGAAATTAGACATGATGTTTAGCAAGTAAGGCCCATATTAACAGAACAGGAGCAAAGCCACACATTTAGAGAAGAAAATCAAACTACATATTGACAAGGAAGCAAATATGACAAAGATTTAAGGCTGAATGTAGCAATTATTAATATATCAAAGCTGTTATACCATATCTCCTATACTTTACCATTTTTTTACTGCCACTGATATAGCTGGGGTGAGTGAGGAGAATATCTATATCCCCACTAGAGGCAGCACCTACAAGTAGAGATGGCCACTGATATAAACAGGTGTTAACATGAATAATATCATACTACAAATATACAGAGAGTTAATATCCATTCAAAAACAGAACAATATCTGTCCCTTTTCCCTTGACTGACATATTATTCTATTATGAAACAAACTTCAGTTTTCAGTTAGAATTTATGTATCAAAGTAGGTCATTGTAACACAAGTTACATCCATATTATTGGAAATCAATTCACATATGATTCCAGTTATTATGTTTGTACTATTGCAAATGTTTCACGCAACAAAATCAGGTGACAGCTGATGCCCAGAATAGGATAACATTGTACCCTGAGATTTAAGAGCATATTAAATCTGTTCATAAAATGTTGTACACAAGGAAAAAATAAAAAGGGTGCCCACTTTCCTCATATGTAGAAAACCAAGACTTGATATCTACCTACACAACTACAGACTACAATGTTCATTTAAACTGGCTCAACTGTCCTAAGCATGGTGGTGACAATTACAATCAAACGTAGAAAAGTGAATGAAGCACCTGTACAATATTTAACACTACAATACAATAACATTAAACCAGTGAATCATCTTAACAAATGCCGAGGTGACAACTGATGACATGATCATTAGACTGAATGCAAAGCTGGTTCTTTGTTACCTCTTCTGAAGCTGCCACACACTTTAGCTGTGTATTCGCTGTCAAGTTTCTTGATCTCCCCAACAGAAGTATTCTGCACACAAAGCATTCAGTATAATGTACAGGCATTCATAAATCTGTCATACAATTACTCTTGGCGGTGTGTGACAATTTACCTGTGTGCACTCACACACGCATGACACTAAATGGCACTGCAATTATAACACTACAGTGCTCTGACATCATGAAAATACATCACACTGCAATCATAACACTACAGTGCTCTGAAATCATAACACTACAGTGCACTGAAATCATAACACTATAGTGGACTGAAATCATAACACTACAGTGCACTGAAATCATGACACTACATGACACTGAAATCATAACACTATAGTGGACTGAAATCATGACACTACAGTGTACTGAAATCATGACACTACAGTGCACTGAAATCATGACACTACAGTGCACTGAAATCATGACACTACAGTGCACTGAAATCATGACACTACAGTGCACTGAAATCATGACACTACAGTGCACTGAAATCATCACACTACAGTGCACTGAAATCATAACACTACAGTGCACTGAAATCACGACACTACAGTGCACTGAAATCATAACACAACAGTGCACTGAAATCATAACACTACAGTGCACTCAAATCATGACACTACAGTGCACTGAAATCATAACACTACAGTTCACTGAAATCATAACACTACAGTGCTCTGAAATCATGACACTACATGACACTGAAATCATGACACTACAGTGCACTGAAATCATGACACTACGGTGGACTGAAATCATGACACTACAGTGCACTGCAATCATGACACAACAGTGCACTGCAATCATGACACTACAGTGCACTGAAATCATGACACTACAGTGCACTGAAATCATGACACTACAGTGCACTGAAATCATAACACTACAGTTCACTAAAATCATAACACTACAGTGCACTGAAATCATGACACTACAGTGGACTGAAATCATAACACAACAGTGCACTGAAATCATGACACTACAGTGCTCAGAAATCATGACACTACAGTGCTCCGAAATCATAACACTACAGTGCTCTGAAATCATGACACTACATGACACTGAAATCATGACACTACAGTGCACTGAAATCATGACACTACGGTGGACTGAAATCATGACACTACAGTGCACTGCAATCATGACACAACAGTGCACTGCAATCATGACACTACAGTGCACTGAAATCATGACACTACAGTGCACTGAAATCATGACACTACAGTGCACTGAAATCATAACACTACAGTTCACTAAAATCATAACACTACAGTGCACTGAAATCATGACACTACTGTGGACTGAAATCATAACACAACAGTGCACTGAAATCATGACACTACAGTGCTCAGAAATCATGACACTACAGTGCTCCGAAATCATGACACTACAGTGCACTGAAATCATGACACTACAGTGCACTGAAATCATCACACTACAGTGCACTGAAATCATAACACTACAGTGCACTGAAATCATCACTGAAATCATAACACTACAGTGCACTGAAATCATAACACTACAGTGCTCCGAAATCATAACACTACAGTGCTCCGAAATCATGAAAATACATGACACTGCAATCATAACACTACAGTGCTCTGAAATCATGACACTACATGACACTGAAATCATGACACTATAGTGCACTGAAATCATAACACTACGCTGAAATCATGTGGACTGAAATAATGACACTACAGTGCACTGAAATCATGACACTACAGTGCACTGAAATCATGACACTACAGTGCACTGAAATCATGACACTACAGTGCACTGAAATCATGACACTACAGTGCACTGAAATCATGACACTACAGTGCACTGAAATCATGACACTACAGTGCTCTGAAATCATGACACTACAGTGCACTGAAATCATGACACTACAGTGGACTGAAATCATAACACAACAGTGCACTGAAATCCTGACACAACAGTGTACTGAAATCATGACACTACAGTGCTCCGAAATCATAACACTACAGTGATCCGAAATCATGACACTACAGTGCTCCGAAATCATGACACTACAGTGCACTGAAATCATGACACTACAGTGCACTGAAATCATGACACTACAGTTCACTGAAATCATGACACTACAGTGCACTGAAATCATCACACTACAGTGCACTGAAATCATAACACTACAGTGCACTGAAATCATAACACTACAGTGCACTGAAATCATGACACTACAGTGCTCCGAAATCATAACACTACAGTGCTCCGAAATCATAACACTACAGTGCTCAGAAATCATGAAAATACATGACCCGGCAATCAAAACAATACAGTGCAAAGAAATAATGAAAATACATGACACTGCAATCATAACACTACAGTGCTCTGAAATCATGACACTACATGACACTGAAATCATAACACTACAGTGCATTGCAACCATGACAGCACTGCAATCGTATCGCTGCAGAGCCCTTTAATCATGACAAGACACGGCATTGTAATCATGACACATGGCACTTGTAATCTAGACACTACTGAACATTGCAATCATGATACTTCGTAACACAACAGGGCAATATAACACACATTAAAAAAATAACACCTCATGTTATTGGTTTACAATCTTTGGTGTGACTCACACTTCTGGTAAGTTTGGTCCAGAAAGTATCAGATCCTCTTTTCTAGGAAAGGATTCATTTTTTCGTGATAGTACACATATTGGAATGTTACAGCCTCACAGTCTCTATACACATGTCAAGTAGTAGGATAGGAAAGTCCCCATACACAAAACCTAACACACAATGGATGACGTTGTCACAGTTGGCTAGCTTCGAAGATTGTTGAAAGTTTCTTCATGATAATGGTCCTATTCTTTGCAAGAAACTGTATACAGCAACAACAAAAGTATCATGTTCCTAGAAACACTTTATGATGAGCGCCCCTGAAGACTAAAAAACTGAAATTCTCGTCCACAATTTAACACCAGCACATATTTCTTACAAAAAACATTTTTATGTTAAATTCTTCTTTCAATAACATCAAATTCTACCCACAATAACTTTAATTGTATTGCTGTTTAGTAACTAAAAAATATAACTGGTGCCAACTTCTATAAAGCAGTTGGAATGCAATGACTTCTGCAGACAACTAACTCCTGTATGGACTTTGGACAGGAGACGACAGTAACAAATAGGTCTTGGGTGAGTGATTTACTGTCCCCGTTGAAGCAGCCTACTGACGTCACGTTTCTCCACTGAAGACCAGGACGTTGGGAGTGACTAAGTGATGGCTATCAATTTTCCATTTTTCACTATTTATATGCTGAAACAACTTTTAGTGTAAGAGAAATCTATTCTTACACGCTACCGGATGTGACACACTTAACTGACACTATAGATGTGCAGTATGTTGTAACCTCCTACACAAAGTGAGGTTGGGCTTCAGAGTGAGTAAGTGAGTGAGTGAGTGAGTGAGTGAGTGAGTGAGTGAGTGAGTGAGTGAGTGAGTGAGTGAGTGAGTGAGTGAGTGAGTGAGTGAGTGAGTGAGTGAGAGTGAGTGAGTGAGTGAGTGAGTGAGTGAGTGAGTGAGTGAGTGAGTGAGTGATGGGGATGAGTGATAGTGGTGGTCGCAGTGACTTAATGACCAAGCAATCGATCACGTTTTCTCATAATCGAACACAAACAATTCTGGAACACTTGTTTTCATCAACAATATTTTTCACAATAAATTATGCTAACCAATTATTTTTGATGATTGATCAGTGGTAATGAATCAATCATCAATTATGAGATTTGAAACAATTCCCAACACTAGTGAGTGAGTGAGTGAGTGAGTGAGTGAGTGAGTGAGTGAGTGAGTGAGTGAGTGAAACTCATATTCTTTGCATTTAGCAATATACTAGCAACATAATGGTGTCCTGGGTTGTGAGATTGCATGGGCAGTGACATATCATCGCATATCATACAGCAATAAATAGTTTCTATGGTATTATGAGGGGCTTGTAGTCTTTCTTCCCAGAGTAAACACCTCCTGAAGAGAAACATTAATTTACAATGGCTGACATACAGACTTCAGTGTATTGAAGTTATGTTTATTACTGGTGCATGTTTTCATAAGGTAAACATGTAAAATGATTTGAAATATAATTGCACAAAGCAATTAAATTCAAACGAGTACAAAACATTCTAAACATGTCAACTTTCACGATGAAAAATGAAACATGTAACGTTTCATGAATCGTGTCAGGCATCATTTTGTGAACCGATACTGTTGATCATCATATTGCATTTGACTATCAAATATGAGTGGGTGAGTATTGTTTTATAAAGCCTTTACAACAAATTTGCATAGTACCCATTAAGGCTGTAACAATTCACTTGCATATTCGGTGAATCGAACCGTAGCCCTTCATGAATTCAATTTGTTATTCGTGGTCACCAGAACCGAATATTTACGATTTTTTTAAGGGAGCATGTTTTACTTATGTCCTTTCCAAAGTGAGATATGCAAGAATGGAACATGTACTAGCATTACAGTAGTGCAAGTCATGTTAGTTTGCCAAGACTGCACATGGTACTGTCAATTATAACTATTACATACCAAATATGAGTATCATGAGATCACTGGTTATTGCTGTGACAAATCAACACTGTCAACATGGGCATTCCATATTGTACATCAATCACTTAACTACAATATTGTATTCATGAATAATTATTAGTATTCGTTAACCAATATTCATGATACGCATCATATTCACCACATAGTGTATTCGTTGCAGCCCTAGTACCCATGTGGTGAAGTGTAACTGGGTCCTCGGCAAACACTTTAACCACAAGGCTACAGTGGTATCAAACGTATCCCAACCTTGCTGATAGTGCCCTGCAGTGATGCATGTTGTAACAACTACACAAGTTCTTGTGATATTGTATCAGTGTGTAGGTCACTATGAACAGGTGCTTGTGACCTCAGAAGCGCTTTAACCACTGAACTTCAATACATGATCTACCTGTAGTATCACCATCTCTTCTCGGGGAATTCTCTTTTCAAAATCTTCAAAATGCCTGAATAAAAATACAACAACAATATTTGTAAAGTCAAATATTATCAAGGCAATTTCAATGCTGTCTGTTGGGAAAGGGATGATAGAACCAGTTGACGAGGTAACGTGATTCAAGTAACCAAGCTCAATGTATCTGCCTATCTGGAGTTCTACTTACCCAACACAGGCAGTTCAAATGTTTTCATCAAAAGTGGCATGTCAAATTTCATCACTAAGATATGAATAGAAAAAAAAGAAGGTTTCAGTTAGTTCTTAAGTACTGTACATGTTGATGAGCATAATCAGCGGTTTGCTGGTTGCAGCTGCACACACCAAGTAACCATTAGAGACAGCAACAAACTGTGATGGGTTGGTCAAATACAGCGTGTCACTGGTGATATGCCACCTGCTTGGCAATAATACAATAACCTATCTAGTTAAATAATCACACTGTGATATAGACGATACAGAACTTCAAGTAGTTACCCAGTTTGCTACTGAAACAACTCTAGTTAAATAATCATGGATCAGATGATGATGATGATGATGAATACGGCCAAGCTGAGTACTTCAACAATGAGGTGGACAGAATATTTGTACTTACTTCACTCCTATTTTCTGTGAATTATTCAGTTTGTCCAAATTTTTTCTCAGATCTACAAAATAACAGAAAAACAGGTTTAAACAATTAGTAGGCAGCGATGAAATGAGCTACAGCTGGCAAAGAATATATAATGTAATACAATATATACAGTATTTGCTTTCCTTGCATAAAGGAACTGATAGTAATACATTTTATCAGAACATAGTTTATGCTGATAATCAAATGCAGAGAGTAATCAGACCAGATGCTATATGCGTTCAATAAACTATGGAATCACATGTATGGACTCTATTATCACATTAAGTGGCTTACAGTGATACAAACAGTGTAAATACTTCACTGGCACTGCACTGGAGCTGCACTGAAGCTGAGAGAATACCTCAACACTACCTTACCTTCAACTGACATGATTCCTTCCTGTACAAACTTCTGTGCTGCAGCAGGTCTGAAAAAACACATGTGCACTGCATTAGGAAAAACATAACAGTAGATAAATAATCTTGTCACAGTGAGTGAGTGAATTTAATTTTACGCTGCTTTTAGCAATATTCCTGCAATATCACGGCCTGGGACACCAGAAAAAATAGGCTTCACACATTGTACCCATGTGGGGAATCAAACCTGGATCTTCGGTGTGATGAGCCACCACTTTAACCACTAAAGTATTGCTGGAAATAGAAAAAAACTGTTTTTAGGCTCTTACTCTGTATCCCTAAAATTTACACAACTGCAAATAGCATATGTCAAAATAACCCACATCGGCCTAACTTGGCATTCAGTAGGATGCGTAATAGGATGTCCAGAAAAGCATGTTTACTCGTAAAATCGGGCAAAACTTACAAAAAATACGAATAGCTGCTGAAAACAATATATCAGACTATTGATGGCAATTAGGTCACTCAGCCAGGTATGACGACGGACCGTCGACACACCTGGCATGAAATGCATGTGCTGCCTACAGGCGCCCAAGGGATAATCTCAACGATATTTTGTGATTTTTCATGTGTGTTGACTATGCCTCATCTATTGATTAACTAACACAGCTTATAAAGTTTATGTTGAGATATGTCTTTGATACCTGATAAAGTTTTAAATGTTCAAAATATATAGATACCATTGTGTCTTTCTTTCAAAAGAGTTTGATACCTTGATAATAACCATAGAAACGCATCGTATTAAATGTCTCAAAATATATAGGTGGCATGACCACCCGATCGCGAAGATCGACAGGACTGGATATTATTTGTAAATTGTTATGACATGCCGTGTACTTCCCCAGTATAATTGCCCTAAAGGATTATCGTATCTTAGCTGATATCCCTATCCCCAAGCCCGACCCCAACGATTGTCTGCGACACCCGTCCAGGTTTTGCTTTTGAGACGAACCCTCCTATCTGTTTCTTTTTATAGTGACAGTGAGACTCCATGGTAGCTACATCCTTAATAGTTTCAGCATAAAAGTTATTATTTTTTATGCCAGCTATCGTTTATAATGAAGCTACGTCTAATTTCAAATTGGTCACTTAAAAAGTGTCCTTTATAATACAATATCGTCGCACACTAATTTGCATACAGCCATGGTCTGTTCCAAATAATTTGTTTTGGACTTAGAAAAACGTTTTGTCTACGTTTCTTGTATCCCTACCATTGAGACTGTAGTTAGGCCGAACTTCGTTTAAGAGATATTTCACACTTGCACATATCAACTACATAAATTGTAGAGATAACTGAGAAAATACAGTTTTTTTCTATTTCCGACACTACTATAGGCTACCCCACTGCCCCACATTTGTCAGTCTGATCCATCAGATACTATCATACATCAGGATTTGTATCATGACAGTCCTTAATTGCATCTTCGTATTCTTTCTTCTTGCACATGAATAAAAAATCAGCACAAAGACTTTATTACATCACAAACACTTTCAAACATTTAATATTTTATATATTATTTGAAAACAGTCGATTGCTTTCAAATTTCAGAGATGGAAGATGGGACTAATGTAGGGCAGAAACCTATAGGATAGAGTGCACCATGTTGTTTATATCTAAGAGGGACATTCTAGACAATCTGTGTAAGCTGGCTTTTCAACAGTTTTTAGCATTTAAAACCTTACATATTTACATGTTTTACATCAAAATAAGTTGTAATTCATGTAGCACATTAGCACATGGAGTTGTGAACTGGATTGCTTAATCGTTACACCACCATCTGTCACAGAAACATCAAATTTACCCAGGCCCTCAAATATTACAAGTTTCAATAATGGGGTACAAATGCAACAGTTTGCTTGTCACGAGTAATACTGCCTCATTCCATGATGCTACCACCCACATACCAATATGGTCAAGAATTATTGCCTTTTCTGTGTCGCAAACAACATTTTGTCACATTCTTGAATTCAAGGCAAAATCTTGATTCGTCTGCAAACACAATGTAAAGTTACTGGTATACAACTTGTCCCTATTGTTGCACCCCTACCCAATCTTAGCTGCCCATGGTAGGCTGTTGGGGTCATATGCTTCAAATGATGCCTAACTTTTAGGCTGGCTGCTTAAGTCGGTTTTAAATGGAAGATGTTGAAATTCACCTTCATGTTGTATGGAATTCTCTATTGATAACAGGAACAGATTTGATGTATTGCCAAAAGTGTGATCTATGTAGTGAGAGTTTTGTAGGCTTAGCACACCCAAGTGTCATTGCAAAACCACCTGTTTGAAAGTACTTGTCTGGCAGATGAGAGATTACACTTTTTGATTTACCCAATATTACACCAGCCGTTGTGTCCAGATGCCACACCACAGTGTTGTAAGTGTAACCCTTAGTGATGCTACATGCTACCTTGCTTTGTGTTGGTAGTATATTTTTAACATGAAATATTAGTTTGTTTAGTATACCAGTATATTTGGAAAAGTTAACCAGCACAGTAGTATGTTGTTATTATGTTGTTATGGCTAGAAACTAGCCCTGTTTAAACATATTGAACGAGATAAACAATGTTTACAGTTTCTTTCAGTTTTATTCAGCTCCAATTTGCAGCCTCAGCATGCTCAGTGGAAGTAATGAGAACTGCTTCAAAATTATAGCCCTCAAATGCTACTAGTCATTAGAATTTCACTTGACCACTGCACAATTTGGGTGTCACAGGCTGGCAGATAAGCCTGAAATTCAGAGGCTGTATTTTGGTAAACAAATAGAATGGTGTGTTGTCTGTAAGGCAAAACTATTAGCATAGACCTGACTGAAACTGCCTGTGTCATGAACATCAATCAATACAATACTACTGAAAGGATTCCATTAAACAATTGACAACAGACCTGAAGGTGTCTACACAAACAGACATGTTTAAATCTCTGTAATATAACACTTGTCTGTGTATTTGGAACATTTTGATGTATACCTTCTCTGTCACTGCAGTTGATATAGAAATGCAATTCTCATACATCTGCCATCACAACTGTTAGCTATATACCATGTACATAAAATAGTAGGAAAAATGGATGTGGCAACCAATTCATTATGTCAGTGAATTCAGCCATATTAAGCTGTAGAGTCAAAGTGGTTTCAATGAAAATCTGAATGCCCTAAAAAATATAATATATAGTAATGCTTCACAAAGGCCGAACTAGGCAAATCAGAGACTTAAAGCATGAGCAATTGTCTATGTCATCAGAACACAATGTGCACAACCAGCAAGTCACAGAATCTGACGACAAGATTCACTTTGTCACCTCTTACTATATGCCCAGTCTAAAGGTCCTATTCAACAAAGTGATCTCAATGCTGCGACCTAAGACCCATATCTGAACACTCACATACACTGTCATAGGGCTTACCACTAGGGCTGGGATGGGTAAACCGGATACCCGGAATGGGTGGGTAATGAGTTGGACCTGGGCACCCGTGTCGATACCCGGACCTGTTATGATCATGTAACCAATAGATTAAACAATGTTATATGTTATTCTTTCATGAATAAAAAGTTGTGCTGTCTTTAAAGATTTGACACCTTTTGAATATAATACATGGTTAAGATATTGAAAAACTCGAAATTTTAACCAGTGAGCTGAAGAATATATTGCCATTTTTTACAATTTTGATGTCAGGAATTAACATAACGGGTATCCAGGTAGGGATAAGGGGATGGGGTACCCGGGTAGAAACTTTGGACCCGTCTGAGCCCTAGCTGCCACCATATCCAAACCATCAGTTATCAGTTACTTCAAGCATTAATGCTTATAGCAGAGGTATTTGGAAATGAAGTGGGCAGGAAGTTAACTTGTGCTTGTGTTGTGTTAACATATCAATGTCTTAACATACTTTTTTCAAATTATAGTCTTAAATTAAAATGAGAGAAGAGTAATAAATGAGCTTGAGAATGAAAATTATAACATTGTGTTTGTCTTAATATGTATTTTGTTATTGTTTTAATAATCCTCACCAACATGACCCTTTAGATTATGAATGAGTGAGTGAGTGAGTTTAGTTTTACGCCACGCTTCAGCAATATTCCAGCTATATGGCAGTGGTCTGTAAATAATCGAGTTTGGACCAGACAATCTAGAGATCAACAGCATGAGTATCGATCTGCGCAATTGGGAACCGATGACATGTGTCAACCAAGTCAGCGAGCCTGACCACCCGATCCCGTTAGTCGCCTCTTACGACAAGCATAGTCGCCTTTGTGGCAAGCATGGGTTGCTGAAGACCTATTTTACCACGAATCTTCACGGGTCTTTAGATTATGAAGTGACCTTTCCTTCAAAGTTACCCTGCCCTTTCTGAATCCTTGAGGGAACACTAGAGGTGTTCACAGTACAACTCATCATTAGATCTATATAAACCTTTAAACTATGCCATCAAGCTGTTAAAAGATGGATAACTGAGACATAATAACATTTAGAGTTGTTATCATTTTAGGTCAAAATCACAACATTTTTGTTCTGACCACGGCATGAATAGACCTTCTTCAGCATATACTAAAATGGCTGGCAAGGTGGCCATATCTAAAATCTAATCACAACTACAAGAACAGATTGATTTTTTGAGGTTGTGAACAGGTGTGTACATTCTGTGTTGATACAGATGTACACATCAGAGAAAGACAACATTAGTATGCAGATCATAGGAAAGAATGGCAAATCAAAATCTATACCATGTAATAACAAAAGGTTTCATTCATCCCATATGTTCAGTTTCTGTCAGAAACATGTTGCTCCAAACTTCAAGGAAGAATCAATGACAGTTTGAGAGCCACATGTTGCTGATCACTCAGTGGCCATGTTCAAGACACGCCATGAAATTGATCATTAAACACAACCATATAACAAATAACATCTGTGCTTGAATGACCAATATAGGTTTTCTACGTTGGTATTGATGGTATTACACAGAAAGTATGACCATGTTTATTCAAATAGTTGTCATCTTAAATCTTTAATGCA